TGGGTTCACATAAGGACAGCGTTGAACCCCCCGCTGCGTTGAGTTGACTGCAAGAAAGGGAAGAATTGGTGCTTGAAGTAGTAGGGCACCCATGTCTCTCTGTACTTGTATAGATTCTCGAAGTGGGAGTCAGTCATAGCCTCATACTTCATCATCAGCTCACACCACCCTGCCTCAAATTCTTCTGGCGTCAAGCTGAAGTCAACACAGTTGTTGAAATCTTTGGACAAGCCAGGGTTTCGCCCCAGCAATGCTCCAAGCTTTTCTTGTGCTTTTTTCATAATATGCCAGCGACAACAACGGTGCACACTTGTAGGAAAGATCTTTTTAATTGACTGTGCCATTGCGATGTCTTGGTCAGTTATGATGTTGGTGGGTGCTACATTATGCATTGCCTCAAGGAAGGTCTAGAATAGCCAATCAAAGCTCGATGCCAACTCTTGCCTAACAAAGCCACATCCCAACATGAACGACTGCCCATGCCTGTTAATCCCAATGAAGGGTGCAAAGGGCATGTTGTACATGTTAGTCATATACGTTGTGTCAAAGGAGATACAATCATGATAAGATTCCACGTACGTCTTCCTTGCTGCACCATCGACCCAGAAAATATTCTCAACCCTGTCTTCCTCATCATATTTTATCTTGTAAAAAAATTCTGGATCCTCTCTCTGCTGATCTTTAAAGTAAGCAACTGTCTCTATCATATCCCCTTCTTGTATCATCCTTGTTCAAGAGCGTCTTGAGGTTTGTAATGTGTTTAGTGCCATAATGTATAATGAGTTCTATCCCATAGAAATCCGACATGATGTGCATCATACGACCTGTTGACATGAAGTCACAATGGTGGTCAATCCTTTTTCTACACAAAAACAGTGCCAAAAATAGTTTCTTTTCTGTTTTCAGCAAGTCAACTCAAATGCAAAGCTTGGGCAATTCATGAAGATATACAAGCAACTACAACCATATGCCCCAGGCAACACATGAGCAAAATACACAAAACAAACCAGGGGGGTAACTATGCATTTAGTGAGCAATACAAATTTCAATCATAGGCAAGTTGACCCCATCCAGAAACGAGTACTATTGTACATTTTAGCTACAAAGAGACTAACCATAGGCAAGTTCAGATTCGACACCAAATTTGTTTTATAAAAAAACTAGGCAAGCAGGAACTTTGCATTGAGTAACAAACAGGTAAACATTAGGCAAGTCCAGTATCCAGAAACAAATCAGGCATTTTATGTCTTTTTCTACTGTTGTAAGCAATTTAGTGGCACTATCAAGCAACTAAGGCATTTGTTTGAAGCAAATCAGTGACATGTTTCAAGAAAAAACAGGTGCTTGTTGATGGGCTAAGAAACACACAACCAGTAGGCATGTCCAGGTTCTTAAAGTTAGAAGATAGGGGGGAGGTGGGTGTGGTTCAATACCCGTAGTTAAATTACAGTTATGAAGATGAGTAAGGAAGGCCCTTTCTTCTGGCGGGATCCCTTGGTGTGATCGCAAATACTTAGTCAAACATGGCTTGTCAACCAACGGATGGTTGTGCTCGCTAACAAAGTAGATCACTTCCCATTTGCCATCTATTACCTTCACAATCATCTTAGCTTTGCAACCAGTTTGCACAATTTTATCTCTTTTTCGTTTCTTGCTACTCTTTTTGCCTTTACTATCATCATCAAGAAAGACAATAGCCTCATCTTCATTATCATCTTTTGCTTGCTCAACAATGTCATCTAGCATGGGAATCTTTTCTGCCCTCCGTCATCAACATCAGGCTTCCGAAACTTGTTGCAAACAAACTGTTGTTTTATCAACTCCCCGGTTTTGAGATCCTTCCTTGAACTATTCATTTTGATTGAAAACCCCATTTGCAAGGAATATGCATTGTAATGCACCTTGGCATCTTCCAAAGTGTCGAACCTCATGCCCACGTAAGGCTCCTTGGGCTGTGACCAAGCTTCATCATCATTTTCAGCACCCAAACCATTACCAATAGTGCCGCCGGTATCACCTGCAGCACCTGTGCCATCAAGGGTATGAGCATCACTCCCAGCTGCTATAGTTGTAGGTACTTGTGTACTGCCCGGAGCACGGCCCCCATGACTTGACTGCCCATCTGTCTTCATTGCTTCTGTAGCAGCACCATCGAGTCTTTGGATGATAGGGGGATTAGGTGATTCCGCCACAAATTCTGCATTTCCAGCAGCATGTTGTGTACAGTACAATGGATCATCATTATTTTCAGCTGGTTCCTCATTCAGGTCAATCATTGTCAACCTGTTTATTTATTGAGAATATGGGAAAAAGTAAAGCAAGTCAGCAGAGGGATGCAAGCAAGTAGCACAGTAAATATAGGCAAGCCAGTAGCACACCTACCCAAGCACACAAAAATAGCTCAATCATGTTTAACCTGTGCATTTTTTCAACCAGAAAAATTAAAGCAATTTTTACGTTGTTGAGGCAAGCTAGTACCACACTAAACTCAGGCAAGCAAACAACACAGCAACACAAGCACACCAGATTCACAAGATAGCGATTGAACATAACCAGGAAATTCAAAGTGCACTATCAGGCAACCGAAACCATATAATCAGGCAAGTCAAACTATATATGTCAGGTAATATATTATTTTCAGGAGATGCATGGTTTTTTTTGTATTAATGAATCATGTTTGTACATATAAACATGACATAGGTTTTTTGTTTTTTGTGTTTCATAATATATTTTCTTATTTTGTTTTTCTTAAACGCATGCAACATTTGATTTTGGGGAAGCAAGCATACTGCCATAGAAGTGCTACTTTGAAGTGTCTTCAGAATGGAATTCACTCCCAAATCAGAGAGATTAGAGCATGTTTAGTGTTAGGAAAAACTTAAGTTAGAATTATGGGCATGATTGCTCTTTTATATTCAGACTATTTCTGCTTTCAGTACCTATGTTTGTGTGTTAGAAAGAACTTAAGTTGACATTTTTAGGTTTCATCTTTTACAGCAGCAAGTTTGTGTGTTTTTGGATATGCTCAGTATGTTTTGAAGTAACGTTTCGCAGCTGAGATAGTTGTTGGTATATGGATTTTCTTGTTGGCTTTTTCCTTCTTTTGCAGGATGAAATACTAATAATTTTGCCACTGTATCCTGGCAACTTTCCAACTTTTCTTGGATCATGGCGAAGGATATGATACAACAAAGGTAAATTGTACTACACAACTGTCTCTTGTTTTTTAGTTGCAATTTTAGTTACATTTTTTTCTTCTAGTGTTTTTTCACTATCGAAACCAAGGAATAATGGAAACAAATGTCCAAGAAGAATGTTTTTCTAGTTTCTTCAAGAGTTGCCTTGACATCATTATACTTTTTTGCTTAATCCTATAATGTAAGTTGCTTCAATAAGCCATTTGTTTTTGGTCCACATGCTCCCAAAAGATCTGATAGGGGGGAAAAGCCTTGTTTTCCCCTTCTTTTCCATAGTGATGTCAGTATTCATTGTCTTATAAGTTTCAAAAGTGTTCATGTTTTTCCATGGCATAAGTTTTCAAAGTTGTGTGCATACATATACTTAGTTGCCTCATTATAGCACTGTTTTTGCTCAAACAGAATGTCTATTTTGCACTGTTATAAGCAACTAATAGAATCGGGACACATCAAAAATAGATCATGATCAGTTGTTTCTCATCCTCTTATAAGTACTGTTTTTGCTCAGTTGTTTTTCTAGCTTAAGGCATTATATTTTCCTAATATTTTTGTCCCCAGCATTTACTATTAGCACTTGCCTACAGATTTATAAATGTGTTCATATGCAACAGATTTGCAAATAGATTTTGAAAACTGGGAAGAAATATCATGCTTAACATCAGACTAAATTTGCCCAAATCAGGGGGCTGAAACTTGCCTAAACAGCAGACTAAACATGCTTAACATCACATCTTTTTTACACAATGTTTTGCACAACTGAAGCCTTATAAAAATCATGGGGAAAGAGGAGGGGGATCTGGAAGATGAGCTAAATCTGACCTTTTTGCCTTGCTTTTTTGCCTTTTTGCAAGGCAATCAGGAATGAGGCGCCTAGAGAAGAAACATCAATGGAGCCGCCATTGGAGGGCTGTGAAGGTTTTCTTGGATCTCGAAGTGGTGAGGGGAAGGGGCGTGCTGTCCTTTTTTGCTTGGGAGAGAAGAAGATGGGGCTGGGGGTTAGGTGAGGATAAAGGAGAAAAGAAGACGCGCAGGGGTGGGGGAGGGATCGGGCGAAGGGGAAGGACCAGGTGATTTTCCCGCTCGATGGTTGGCTGCGGGAATCGGCAGGCGGGGACCAGATGCTTTCCTATCCTAGAAAGGTGGACAGAAAATTACTATATCTGGGTGGCTGCCAGGAAACGCTAGGGAGCACCCGGCTGCTCCATAGACGCATCCCTAACCAAAATGAATCTTCCTTGTCCTTGGACAGCCCATACCGCTGGAGGTTGGGAGCCATCTGAGGACTGCGATCCCCGATAGAGAGCATGTCAAGCTTGAAGCTCCTGATGGCCGGACGTACGATGTTAAGATTATGATGTCCTATGACATGTTTCTCTTTACATCTGGAGAAACATCTGGATGGCAGGAGTTTGTAGATGCAAATAAAATACAAGAAGGTCACTCGATTATGTTTGTGTATTGCGGGAACTCCACCTTCAAGGTTAATATATCCAATTTATCCGGCCGTGAGAATCCTTCATCCTCCTCTGAACCACCTCCCAAGATCCTTGGAGCCATTCCTCCTCCCCGTGCTTCTTGTGATCATCATGTGCCAATGAAAGGTAAAGTGATTCAGCATCATAAAGTCAAATGCTTTTTGCAATATTTATCTGATCATTGTAAAAACATGCTTGATGTGCAGAAAAAGTGGTGCCTGATCCCCCTAGACATGTTGACACCTCAACTGACGTTGGCTATAAGTTGTCAAGTGGGTGTTGTCTAACCAAAGCATAGGAGGAGAAAGTACTTGAACTAGCTCATAGAATGAGGTCTGAAATTCCTCTACATGTGGAAACCATGGGCAAAAGAAATGTCAAATTGAAGGACGGTTGTATTGTAAGTTGAATCTTTTCCAGATGATTTGTTGCCTGCGTTTGTTATACGTCGGACCTCTTCATCTTTTTAAACTTGCCCTTTTTTCTGCTTATGCAGTACATCCCCTTGAGACTTGTCGACCATTTCGAACCTGACATTACACTCAAAGACCACGAGGACAAGATACACGGTGTTCGAGCAAGGAAGCACGATGCTGACCAGATAATCTTAGAATCTGGGTGGGGTGAATTTGTGTTTAAACAGCGGATACAAGAGAATGACCTCATCGTTTTCAAAAAGGGGAAACCTCACATCGAAGTTTTCATCCTTGAGAAAACCTCATCATCTTTTCTAACGGGAAATTATTCCTGTGCCCAAGAAGTCATTGAGTTGAGTAGTTCTGATGACGATGAGATCATGGCTAAGAAGATGGCTTCAGTATCCTCCCCTTGCGCTAAATCAGGTTATAATATTGTAGTTACATGTGCAATTTTTTATTTGCCATAATTTCATATGAGTTTTGGTTATTGTATGCTCACCATAAGAAAGTAGGGATATTTTTTAGAATATGGAGCTCCCAAGCTGAATGAAGTTGGTTCAAAACCTCCTAGGTCCAACATTTTCATGGGACCTTCACAGCGTCGTCGCTACATTTTATCCCAAGGGAAAGTTCTAAAGGGGCTATTGAGAGAGAAAGTTGAAGAGAAAGTCCAGGCAATTTGCTCTGAATTTTCGGTGTTTGTGAAAGTGATGAACAAATCCAGTAGATCACGACGTGAAATACACCCTCTGGTGAGTTCAGAGGCCACATGTAACTTTATAATTCTCTAGTTTGTTGTTGATTCCATAATGGAAATCTTTATACACACTGCTTCTGCCATTGCAATGCATAACTCACTCATAATCCATTTCTCACCTAAAAAACTTGGCGCACGCAACAATTAGAAGTAATGTGGACCTTGAATCAATCATCGATCTGAGATTGCGTTCCTCAGCTCACACTCTTTTTCATTCTTGGACAGCACTTCTGTCTGGAGTATGCTTCTGAATGCCTCCCGGCTGAGCAAAAAGGCCTCCTCCTTCTGCTGGAAGGCGACGAGAGGGAATGGACTGGTAAGTTGGACATCTCGAGGAATGGCTCGAGGAAGGGAAGGTTTATCTTTGGAGCCTGGAAGGACTTCCTCTGGCAAGTTGGTCTGAAGGAGGGAGACATATGCCTCTTTGAGCTGGTAGACAAGAGCGCAGGTTGGATCACGATGAAAGTCCACCTGATCCGCAGGTCGGAGATACAGCCATAGCTCTCGATCCTGCACCAGTTTCCTTATCTATCTATTGTATCCAATGTGGCTGTAAACTCTGATTAAACATGTTATAAGAGAGCTTAGCTAACTGATGAGCAACTTGACCTGTAGAAGTTGTTAAACAACTCTTGTTGCATCCAATTTGGGAAGTTAGTGGACCCTATTGTGCATCTATCGCTGCCACATTCTCTCCTTATATTGTTGTTGATTTTTTTGTGTTTGACAAAGTTTCTTGCTGGCTGGGATGTCCACAAGGAACCATTTTTCTCCAGTGAGACTGGGATATGTTTTTCCAGTCAAAATGGTTTAAAGCTCATGAACTGAATTTTGGGCAAGATCACAGGAACATGTACTAAGTACATGCATGCATGCATGAAGCTCATAGAAGATGCACATCAAGAACATGGAGGCATATTAGGACCATGCAAAGAAACAGTTGTCGTGGGCATGGTCATCTCAGTTGCATACATGATATATACTTGAAGAGCCGACAATTCATCTGCGCCATTGGATTATTTCCTCTCTTTTTTCAATCTGTGTGCTTGGGATAGTATCGTACCAGAATCGGATATTGACTGTCGTACCCGTAGCTATTTTGAGACTTGAAAGTTTGGTTCCAGTGGAATCAAAATCCCTTCACTAAAAGGGAAAGGAAGAAATCCTTTCTATTTAGAGACTTGAAAGTTTGGTTCCAGTGATATCAAAAGCCCTTTACCAAAGAAAATAATAACAATATCACAAGTTCCCAGTGCAATCACAAGAATGGGAGGGTTTCACACCTGGTCCTCAAGACACTCTTGTCGAATGGTGGGCAGGTGCAAGCGAGGCCGTCCCCGAAAATCAGAGGAGAAACTTCAACTCCTTCGCCGTCCTTACCATGCATTCTCTGTGGAAGGAGCGTAACCGGAGGGTTTTCGACAAGGTGTCGAGGCCTGCCAGTGTCATCACGACCGACATAGACACAGAATGGGGAACACGGCACCGCGCATGGCAGTTCAAGCACGGAGCCCATGGCATGGCGGGAGGTCGTGAGTAGTGCGAGTGTTTAGTCTAGTGTGGGTGGAGGCGAAGGTGGAGGCAAGCAAGTCTTGCCAGTATTGTTGTTGTAATGTTGTAAGACTCTTTCTCCTATCTTAATGAATCGACGTGCAAGGCAAGGCAGCCATGGGTACTACTGTAAGGTTCTTTTATCGTTTGCAAATGTATTCCCAGTTACGAAAAGCCAGTATTCTAACAATGAGTTCAGAAAAACATGATCAATCCATGTATTACGGTTATGGTTTACTGCAGTAACTAATGTATTACCTTCTGAATGCTGAATACTGTGGAGAAGTGGCCCCCATGTGTAGAACAGCCTCCCAATATCCAGATGGAAGCATAAAGTTGCATAATCAAGCAGAGTAACATGGTCTACTCTTGATCTAAGTCCATAAATTAACTACTTTTGCGTGATTGTAAAGAGGGTAAGCAGAGTAACAATCGCTTTAACAGGCTTCTTCAAGGTTCATAATAGAAACTCAAGCTTTGGTTTCATAACAAGCTCAATACTGTAACTCAGAAGTGGGGAGAATCTAAAGATCATTGAGCAAACATCTTCCTTAGACAAGGCGATCCCCAGGAAGTAATTCACTCTGTAAACATCACAATTAACACTTAGGTATTAAGACAGTCTTAGCGTAACTAGTGAAAATCACATTATTAGACTCCAGGTAAGCAGCAAATAGTAAAAACAGAAATTGAGTATCAAGAATTGGCTTCATAAGTGGAACTAGCTATTGGCCGTAGTAACTTGTGACCATAAACACAGTTGACACTATCTTGTAACAAGACATAATTCACATGTTTTATTGGCAGTAATGTGCTAATGGTATACTTAATTACTTAGCCAGTGATTTTGATAACAGGTCTTTACCAGCAAAGACCCTTGAGAACTAGCTAAAATTGAATAGCCGGAAACTTGAATACACGCTTTACTTGGGCAATGTTTTTAGTTGTTAGCTGTGTCTCATATGAAATTATGCATTTATGTGCAAGGCTAATACAAAGCTCAGCGAAATTTAGGTGAAAGCTCCATATAGGACACAATAAATAGCAGCTGAATAGGGTTTTGTTCCTAAGGAGTATAACGGGTGTAGAGTACCTCCCTTCCTAATCTATCTACTCATAGCTAGATGAGCAATGGGTTAAAGTCATTTACAAGTTTACAAGAACTGCAAACATATCAACTGAATTGACTAAACCTTTGCAATAAAACCGTTTTTTATTGTCATCCTGGGGAGCAGTGTGCCCTTTATGTCCAACAATAAAAGCTCTGGTTATTCTTAATTATACGAGGAAGATGACGCTAAAAAATTCCAAAGTTAATAATAAGGTTAATTTGATAAATGCCACTCGAATTCTGGCGATTCCCGCTCCCTGCTCCCCGCTCCTAGCTGCGCCGGTGGCCACTCCGGCCCCGGCGGCCACGCCACACCCCCACCGCCGGCTGCCGCTCCAGCCCCGGCGGCCCGCTCCCCGTCCCATGGACATCTCTCCTCCTCCCCCGGGGGCTGCACCCCACGCCCCGTTGGCTGGAATCCAGCCCCTCCTCGGCCGGATCTGGTTCGACCGCCGCGTTGTACCGGGATGCTCTGCTCGCCTCCCCATCTGCTCGCCCCTCCAGCGGTGGAACGCCGCTCGACTCCACCATCTCGCGCTACTCCGGGCCACGGTCGGAGGTCCACCGCGTCGACCCCCCACCGGACGCCCCCTGGATCCGTTGCCGGGCGCCAGCGCCGCCCGCGTACGTGCCACCCTGCTGGGCCTGCGCGCCCCCACTCTCCGTCCTCGGCCAGCGACGAGTGCCTTCGCTGCCTCTCGAAGTCCCCAAGCCACCTACTCGAGGAGTGCCGCCGCGACATCCGGTGCCGAAGGTTCCGCTTTTACGGCCACATGGCGCGCGTTTGCACCGTGCATCGCGAGTGCCTCCCTGCCCAGAGCCTTGCGAAGCGGCATCGCACCTCCTCGCCGTCGATGAGCTTGGGAGGGTCAAGCCCCACCGCGTCCTCCGGGCGGGCTTCCCCTTTGCCAACTCCGGCTCCCTCCCCGCGGCCGTCTCCGCCACCTTCCTCGAGCCCGGCCCCTTCCTCTTCGTCAGGCACGCCCACTGTCATGTCTGGTCACCCTGCTCTCCACCCGGCCGGCGCCACGTGCTTCCTCCCCCGTTCCGCCGAGATCGAAGACGCGGAGGCCGCTCTCCACCGTGCTCTGCTCGCCACTGTGGTTGGTCGCCGCTCTGGCGTCTCCTGCGCCGATGTTACGGGACTTGTTAGCGGGCTCCGGCATCCCCACGGGCCGGTGCAGTTCCTGCTCCGATTCGAGAGGATGGAGGATCGCGCGCACGCGCGTCGACGGGAGTTGCTCGCGGCCCGCGGTTCTGCCTCCTCCTGCGCCCCTGGAGTCGCTTCGACGGCGCCCAGGCCGTCTCCCTGCGATTCAAGGTGGATCTTGAAATCTCCGACATCCCCGACTACGGCTGGCACCTCTCCTCCGCCGTGACTCTGCTGGCTCCATTCTGCAAGGTCGACGAGCTCGCCCCGGAGACGCGCGATGCCACTGATATGTCAGTCTTCAGAGTCTCGGCTTGGACTCCCAACCCGGATGCGATCCGCTCCTTCGACCTCTACCTCCCGGAGAACGACGCCGTGATCGCCAGCGCTAACCTGGACGTCGCGGAGAGGTTTGCGTTGGAGGTCCTGCGCTACCCAGTGACGATCCACGTTACCCGCTCCATCGACTTCCGCCTGCCGGCCCCGGCCCCGCCGCCCCCGCCTCCAGCGGACGACTCCAACCCCTTCGACGTCCCTCCATCGCCGCTGTGCCCCGGGCCCTGGCCACACCACTACGATTTTCCGCGTCGCTCTAGAAATTGTGGTGACGCGCGGCCGCCGCCCGACCATGACAGTGGCACCTCCGGCGCCGGCGTGCGCCGTCGTCACCGTCACCCTCGTCTGCCTCACCGGGACTGGCATGGGATCCTTGGATCCCACCCGTTACCCGCTGACGCACCAGCTCGGGCCCAGGCAAAAAGCCGCCCTGACCCGCGGGAAGGCCGCCTTGACCGCGGTCCGCGGACGACGACAAGACCGCCCACCATGACCACGCCTTTGAATCAGACCCCCTGCTGCATGGTGGCCCCACCAGGAGCAGACGCAGCATGTGCCACCCCCGGACCCCACCACCGAGGCTTCCGGATCCCTGCGCTCGCCTCACATTGGTCGTGCTGCCTTGGTGGACCCAGCCTGTGCCCCGCCCTCTCCTCTCGAGGGCGCCGCCCAATCCCCTCCGAGGCTGCGACAGGCTGGATCAAATCCCGAGGCAACCCCTGCCTCTGCCCCGCGATCCCCTGCCCCCATGCCGCAACATCGGAAACACCCTTCCAGGCGACCCCACCACGGCCCCCCTCCCCACTCTCGGCCTCCGCCACCCCTTTCACGCCACGTGGCCAGTCCCCCTGCGCCTTGGCATCCCCTGGCCATGCAGATAACGTTTCGGCTGCCCAGGGCCGTGAACTTCAAACCTTTGTGGCTGGAATCCAGCTAAGGACAGCGCCCGTGCTACCTATTCCGGGCCCCAAGCGAAGAAGGAAGGAATTGCCTCCAAACTTTACTCCTAGACGCAACCACCGCATTGCCAAGGCCGATTTGTGCCTCGACTCGGAAGCTAAAGCTAAACGTGTGCTTCTTCTTCGGCTCAGCATCATCCATGAGAACGAGCCCATCTCCTCTACGGCCATCGAGCGCTACAGCAAACTTTTTGAGCAGCCGCTGGCTGTCGGAGTAAATAGCCATGGATAGCCTAGCCGGCTTCCCCTGGCCCTTCTGAAAAAATTACGAGCCCGTCCGGCTCTCAAGAATCCAAGACATGGAGCCGCCTTCCCCTTGCTGGCTGCCACCCAGGCCGGCTTCCAGAAGGCGGTCCGACTTTAACCCTCATGAAGAAAGCCATGGGAGGGCCGA